GTGAAGCAAGACCGTGAAAGTTTCAATATACTTTGGGGGGCTCCATGCAGAAGCCATATTAATTTACAAACTTATATGCTTCTGCATGCCTTGGGAGTCCCTATAGGCATATTGAAACATTAGTGGTTCTGCTTCATTTCCAAACTGATTGGCACTCAGCCACCCAAGTTCGCTTTCAGTAGGGACGATAATGATAATAATACACAGTACGCAGACAAACCAGTGGTATGTGCTGCTGATTAACATTTATTTATTTAGGGCATTTGTACTCTGCTCTTCAGCCAAAAAGGCTGTTAGAGTGGCTTACATACCACCAATTAAAACAAGACAGTCCTTCCCAGCAGGCTTAAAATCTAAAACAAAAACAGGGCATAGAAGGGGTAAAGGACAGGGAGGGAAGAGCAGGGAAAAACAAGCTCAGGCACTAATTCTTAGACCATTGTTCTTCTAATGACCAGGTGGCACAGTTCTGAGGCAGGAGGTGCCTGATGGAGCTGGTCTTTCAGCAAAAGCTGATGGAAGGAGTCCTTCTTCCCTTCTCCTCCCACTGAGGCAGCTTGATGGAATGGCTTGCCTCTAGATGATGGCTGAGGAAGAGAGAGGAGGACTGATGGAGTTGGTCAAAGTGAGCCCTCCTTCCCAGGCCTGTGCCTTGTGCCTGAAAATTTATGGGTTGCATATATGCCATTATTTGCCAAGTTGGCTCATGGGGAAAGGTGAAGGGTGGAAATGTAAGCATAAATGGATGCATCTATTTTCTTAAAGGGACGTGGGTGGCGCTGTGGGTTAAACCACAGAACCTAGGAATTGCCAGTCAGAACGTCGGCGGTTCGAATCCCCGTGACCGGGTGAGCTCCCGTTGCTCGGTCCCTGCTGCTGCCAACCTAGCAGTTTGAAAGCATGTCAAAGTGCAAGTACCTTCCAGCGGGAAGGTAAACAGCGTTTCCGTGCACTGCTCTGGTTCGCCAGAAGCTGCTTAGTCATGCTGGCCACATGACCTGGAAGCTGTACACCGGCTCCCTTGGCCAATAAAGCGAGATGAGCGCCACAACCCCGGAGTCGGGCACGACTGGACCTAATTGTCAGGGGTCCCTTTATCTTTACCTATTTTCTTAGCCCCATGTCTTCCTATGGTTCCATTTTTATTTTATTTTTGCCGCATTTATAACCCACAGTTTTCTTTTTTTATTGCCCGCGTTCAAAAAACGCCAGTGCTTTGTGCTAAGGTTGATCTTAGTGCTTCACAAAGTAAGCTCATTTCCAAAACTTAGTGAAAGACTCTGCGTGCGTACATCAATATGTCACTTTCCTTGTCTCCCCCATGACTGCCCTTTAGAAAGTAAATATGGCATAATTCAGTGCCAGTCTGCTGGTTCTGTAAACCCCCAAAGACTGTGGCTTGGAGGAGGAGATGAGAGCATATTTTGTCCATGGGTAGATTTCAGTGAAAGCGACAGATGTCTTTCATTAAACCTCCCCAGAACGAGCTGTTCAGGAAGCAATATGTATTCAGGCAATATAAATATTTCATAAAGCCATAATAGATGTTATCATAGATCCTCCGTCCAATATTTATTGCGCCCATAATCTGTGATACACTGTGCCGGGCCACGCACTTCCTCTAGCACAGACACCCAGGTATGTAGGAGATCATATGGAGTACACTGTGAGATCTGCCGTAAATTGTTCTTAAAAAGACTTGGAAGCTATTTGTTATTTCCAGTGCTTTGGCTGCCCTGCTGCTGGTGATGGTGGGGTTTCTGAGGATAATGAAACAAATCTGTTTGTTGAAGGCACCTTTTTATGGTGGGGTTTCAAAGCAGACAGACTTAGTATAAATCTCCATCCTTAGGCCATCAGAAAACATTTAAACTGCAGTTTCATGACCTAAGAAACTTCCAGTGGATTCAAGTAAGAGAATCTAGGAATCTAGGAATCTACATGGCTGCAGATTTCTCTATGGTCAGAAAACAAAGGACACATCCCAAACTCTCCTCTGAATTTTCTCCTGGAGTTGGGAGCCCTAAATATTCAGCTCAGCATTCCCATTAGTGGGCAGCTCTGCTCTGATGGAAGGTTGCAATGTATGGGACTTCTTTGTTTAGAGAGGCACCATTGTTTAGAGAGGCACCTTTTTGAGGAGCAAAAAGGGTTTTCTTGTGTGTGTGTGTGTTTCTTTGTGGCTGATTAGCTGCTCTCCCTGTGCAAAGGTCAGAGGGGGCAGGGTTTCTGTTGAGGCAGGTGATTAGCTGTGGGAGGAGCTTATCAGAGCTTGCAGGGCAGCAGCTGAAGAAGGAGCAAAAAGGGTTTTCTTGTGTGTGTGTGTGTGTGTTTCTTTGTGGCTGATTAGCTGCTCTCAATGTGCAAAGGTCAGAGGGGGCAGGGTTTCTGTTGAGGCAGGTGATTAGCTGTGGGAGGAGCTTATCAGAGCTTGCAGGGCAGCGGCACGCACAGTTTGATCCATCTTTTAGATTTAGGGGAGCTAGTCTCAAACATTTGTTGGGGGAGACCTAGGTTTTTTTGTGGGGGGAGTTATTTGTCCTGTCTTCACGCTTTTTATGATGGAGGACCGCTGTAGCCACCCCCAACAACACGTTCTCAAGATGGAGGGGGAGGGAACAGCTGCAGTCGCCTGCGGTTCCTGCACAATCTTTGCCATCTTGCCAAAGGTTGCAGGCAGCTTTACCTGCAGCAATTGCATGTTGATTGCCCTCTTAAAAGACAAAGTCCAGCAACTGGAGGAATGTGTAGCTACGCTCCAAAGAATTAGAGAGCTGGAGCTCTTCTTGGAAGCAACAGAGCACACCGTCTCCACCAAGGAGGAGACAGGGGACTGCCCTGAGAAGGAGGCTAGTTCACCAACACAGGAGCCAGATATATGGAGAAACGTGACTCAAAGAAGTAGGAGGCCCAGGGTTCGCTCTGATTGTTTAGAAATACACAATCGCTTTGAGGTCCTCTCCCTAGCATGGAAGATGAAGAGCAGACTCTATTTGAGGATCTCTCCCTCATTACAGTCGATCAGGTATATGAAGACGAGCAGCAAAGTCAGTCCTCAGGGAATGTGCAGGCGACCTTGGAACGGACAGCTCACGGAAGAACCCCGACCAAACCTAAGAGGAGGCGTGTAGTGGTGATAGGGGATTCCCTACTGAGGGGAACAGAAGCAGTGATCTGTGGGCCTGACAAGATGTCTCGGGAAGTGTGCTGTCTCCCTGGGGCTAAGTTCCAAGATGTAACTGAATGACTGCAAGGAATCATAAAACCCACTGACAAATACCCCTTCCTCTTGGTTCATGTGGGAACCAATGACACTGCAAGCAATAGCCTCCAGAAGATCAAAAGAGACTACGAGGCTCTGGGCAGGAAATTGAAGCAATTAAATGCACAAATTGTCATCTCATCTGTCCTCCCAGTTGAACGACGTGGCCCAGGGAGAGAGGGAAAATAGTGGAAGTGAACAGCTGGCTTCGCAAATGGTGTAAACAGGAACGGTTTGGATTCTTAGATCACGGACTGCAGTTTCTTGAAGATGGACTTCTGGCAAGCGATGGGCTGCACCTCACAATGGTTGGGAGAAATGTTTTTGCCAAAAATCTCAGAAACCTCATCAGGAGGGCATTAAACTGACTAATGTGGGGAAGGGAGACAGTGCTCCTGAAGGTAGGAGTCTATCAATTGATGAAGATGATCATCCAAATGTCATAGACCAAATGGAGCAAACAGCACGCAGACCTAGTGGTGGGAGGAAAAAATCCTTAAATAAGAGACACAGGGGAATGATTAATGGACTTCAATGTCTGTACACTAATGCACATAGCATGGGAAATAAACAAGATGAGCTTGAGCTCTTGGTACAGCAAACTAAATATGACATAATAGGCATCACTGAAACCTGGTGGGATAAGTCCCACGATTGGAATGTAATAATGGGGAGATACAATCTATTTCAGAGAAACAGACCAGACAAGAAAGGAGGAGGAGTGGCGTTATATGTCAGGGATGTGTATACCTGTGAAGAGATCCAAGATTTAGAACCTCAAAGCCAAAGTGAGAGCATTTGGGTCAAAATTAAGGGAGAGAAGAATAACGGTGACCTCATTGTGGGAGTTTACTATAGATCCCCAAGCCAAACGGAGGACATAGATGATGCCTTCCTGGAACAGATGGCCAAGCATGCAAAAGGAAGGGAGATAGTAGTAATGGGGGACTTCAATTACCCGGATATTTGTTGGATGTCAAACTCAGCCAAGAGCATAATGTCAAACAGATTCCTCACTGGCCTTGCAGACAACTTCATTGTCCAGAAAGTGGGAGAAGCAACAAGAGGAACAGCCATTTTAGATCTGGTCCTAACCAATGTTGATGACCTGGTTAGTGGGGTAGAAGTGGAAGGATCATTAGGCACGAGTGATCATGCTCTTCTGAAGTTTACTATACAGCGGAAAGGAGCAGCCAAGCATACTAGGACTCAATTTCTTGACTTTAAGAAAGCCGACTTCATAAAACTTAGGGAAGTGCTGGGTGAGATCCCATGGACAGTAATACTAAAAGGAAAGGGAGTTCATGATGGCTGGGAGTTTGTTAAGAGGGAGATAGTAAAAGCACAAAGTCAGGCAATACCAATGAGACGGAAACATGGAAGGTGCCTAAAGAAGCCAGGGTGGCTATCTAAAGAACTTTTAACTGAGTTAAGATTAAAAAGGATGTGTACAAACAATGTAAAAGGGTGGGTAACCTCCTATGAGGAATTCAATCTAATAGCCAGCACGTGTAGACACAAAGTCAGAAAAGCTAGAGCACAGAATGAACTCAGGCTTGCTAGAGAGGTTAAAAGCAACAAAAAAGGCTTTTATGGGTATGTTCGTAGCAAAGGAAGAACCAAGAAACAGTGGGGTCACTCAGAGGAGAAGATGGTGAAATGCAAACAGGGGACACAGAAAGGGCTGAACTCCTCAATGCCTTCTTTGCCTCAGTCTTCTCCGATAAAGAAAATAATGCCCGACCTGAAGAATTTGGAGCAAATGATTCAGCAAAGGAAACACAGCCCAGAATAACTAAGGAGATAGTACAAGAATACTTGGCTAGTTTAGATGTATTCAAGTCTCCAGGGCCAGATGAACTGCATCCAAGAGTATTAAAAGAACTGGCAGATGTGATCTCAGAACCACTGGCAGTCATCTTTGAGAATTCCTGGAGAACAGGCGAAGTCCCGGCAGACTGGAGGAGGGCAAATGTTGTCCCTATTTTCAAAAAGGGGAAAAGAGAGGACGCAAATAATTACCGCCCAGTCAGTCTGACATCAATACCAGGAAAGATTCTGGAGCAGATCATTAAGCAAACAGTCTGTGAGCACCTAGAAAGGAATGCTGTGATCACCAATAGTCAGCATGGATTTCTGAAAAATAAGTCATGTCAGACTAACCTGATCTTGTTTTTTGACAGAATTACAAGCCTGGTAGATGAAGGGAATGCAGTGGATGTAGCCTACCTTGATTTCAGCAAGGCATTTGATAAGGTGCCCCATGATATTCTTGTAAAGAAGCTGGTAAAATGCGGTCTTGACTATGCTACCACTCAGTGGATTTGTAACTGGCTGACTGACCGAACCCAAAGGGTGCTCATCAATGGTTCCTCTTCATCCTGGAGAAGAGTGACTAGTGGGGTGCCACAGGGTTCTGTCTTGGGCCCGGTCTTATTCAACATCTTTATCAACGACTTGGATGATGGACTCAAGGGCATCCTGATCAAATTTGCAGATGACACCAAACTGGGAGGGGTGGCTAACACCCCAGAGGACAGGATCACACTTCAAAACAACCTTGACAGATTAGAGAACTGGGCCAAAACAAACAAGATGAATTTTAACAGGGAGAAATGTAAAGTATTGCACTTGGGCAAAAAAATGAGAGGCACAAATACAAGATGGGTGACACCTGGCTTGAGAGCAGTACATGTGAAAAGGATCTAGGAGTCTTGGTTGACCACAAACTTGACATGAGCCAACAGTGTGACGCGGCAGCTAAAAAGCCAATGCAATTCTGGGCTGCATCAATAGGAGTATAGCATCTAGATCAAGGGAAGTAATAGTGCCACTGTATTCTGCTCTGGTCAGACCTCACCTGGAGTACTGTGTCCAGTTCTGGGCACCACAGTCCAAGAAGGACACTGACAAACTGGAACGTGTCCAGAGGAGAGCAACCAAAATGGTCAAAGGCCTGGAAACGATGCCTTATGAGGAACGGCTAAGGGAGCTGGGCATGTTTAGCCTGGAGAAGAGGAGGTTAAGGGGTGATATGATAGCCATGTTCAAATATATAAAAGGATGTCACATAGAGGAGGGAGAAAGGTTGTTTTCTGCTGCTCCAGAGAAGCGGACACGGAGCAATGGATCCAAACTACAAGAAAGAAGATTCCACCTAAGCATTAGGAAGAACTTCCTGACAGTAAGAGCTGTTCGACAGTGGAATTTGCTGCCAAGGAGTGTGGTGGAGTCTCCTTCTTTGGAGGTCTTTAAGCAGAGGCTTGACAACCATATGTCAGGAGTGCTCTGATGGTGTTTCCTGCTTGGCAGGAGGTTGGACTCGATGGCCCTTGTGGTCTCTTCCAACTCTATGATTCTATGATTCTATGATTCTATGTCAGAAGTTCATACAATTTTGCATGACATGGAGAAAGTGGATAGGGACATTTTTTTCTCTGTCTCCCATAACATTGCCAACCAATGAAGCTGAATGTTGCAAGATTCAGGAGAGATAAAAGAAAGTACTTCTTCAAGCAGTGTGTAGTTAAACTATGGAACTCACAGCTGCAAGAGGCAGTGATGACCACTAAGGCCCAGAGAACATTGCCGCGCTATCCTCCTCATCTGGTTCTTATTTGGGTAACACCCAAATAGAGTTTAAGTTCATGAGGAATTGTATGCATTAAAAAGTAATAGGAGCATATTGTCAGACCACTGGCCCATTGAAATAAGCAGGAGGAAGCTGACAGCCAGTGCCATCCCCTGGGATAGTTGTAAAGAAGAAGAAGAAGAGGAGGAGGTGTTTGGACTTGATATCCTGCCTTTCACTCCCCTTAAGGAGTCTCAAAGTGGCTAGCAATCTCCTTTCCCTTCCTCCCCCACAACAAACACTCTGTGAGGTGTGTGAGGCTGAGAGACTTCAGAGAAGTGTGACTAGCCCAAGGTCACCCAGCAGCTGCATGTGGAGGAGCGGGGAAGCGAACCTGGTTCACCAGATTATGAGTTCACAGCTCTTAACCACTGCACCATGCTGGCAGATGGGAGCTAACTAAGGGCAGACTGAGGGTGTTGGGGCAGCCATTGGTCTATCTAGCTCAGTATTATCTACACTGACTGGCATTTCTGGAACCAACTAACATGGGAATGAGCACTAAACTTGCACTAGATTTCCAGAAGTGGCTTTTCCATTGTATGGAAGTTCAAATATAATGCGGAAACAAACATTGAGGAATACGCCAAGGAAACAGAACCAAGTGCCATGTGAGTGGAGCTTAACTGACAATCACCATTCTCATACTGTTTGTATGTGCAAGTGTGATGAATTTGACAAGCAAAGGAAGTGCTGGACTTCATCTACAAGTACATTTCCGTTAACCAGGAGTGCTGTTGACACACAGGTGCAAATGGTGATGCCCTGAGCCAATCGTTTCCTCCCTGCTCTATTCGCAGCCAGCAGGAGTGTGTGTGTTTGTCATTTTCCTGGTTTTCTGTCGCTTTAGTCTGACACTACCTGATAAAGATCTGAAACCCTTGAAAACGAGAGCCTGACAAGCCGCGGTCTAATTTGACACATTTACAACAAGGGCGGCATTCATTGCATTAGACAAGTTGATGCAGCTCTCAAAGCCAGGAGAGGAATAGCATGTTGGAGTGGCACAGATGCCCCCTCCTTTCTATTGTGTTATCTCTCACTAATCATTCCCAGGCACTCCCTAGTAATATTAATCAAAGGCTCAAGCATCACTCCTTCGTGTGCTAATGATTCATTTCTCTGAGCGGAGGAACTTTGAAGAGCTCACAACTGAGTGGTAAGCAGGACAGGGAGAATTCACTTGAAATACAGTTTTCATAATATGAATGTCTTTGTTCCTACAGACATTTCCCAGCGATCCTTTCAATAGCCTGGGAGATTGAAATCTTTATTTGCAATCCCATATATGGTTGTGATTGCAAACATCATGTCAGCAATTGACTGTACTGAAGGCCATCTTGGTCTCTGACAGGTCTGGTTCCCATTACTGCTTCAGACAAGCATTCTGAGGAGTTCTGGATTGCTGGTGTTTTAATCTCCTACAGTGCTTCACAGAGATGCTACACCAGGGTCAGTTTGGAGAGAAGTAAAACGTTAGCTCCTATTAGGTCTATATTACTGTACCCAAGGACAGCTATCTGGTGCTGACTCGGGTGCTAATGAGGTGCTGATGTCTGCTTATTCATCCCATGTCCTGAACACAAATCAATCCAGAGAATGCAATCAGTATTGGCTATTGTTGTTTCTTCTAGTTGCCAAAGGATATATAAAGGATACACAGGATACATAAATGATTGTGTCTCTCCCATTCACATTTCCTTTGCACTGAAATGAATGTAGTGGAATAGCATTAATGACAACAAAAGTTATGTAGTCTAGCCAATTATTTACATAATTTGCATAATTTTACTACAGTGAGACAAATACCATATGAACCCATATGAACTGACCCAGATCCTGCAATCATCATCTAAGGCCCTTCTTCGTGTGCATGAGAGATCTGGAGAGTGGCAACAGGAGAACGGGCCTTTTCTGTGGTGGCTCCCTGCTTGTGGAATGCTCTACCTAGGGAGGCTCACCTGGTGCCTTTGTTACATATCTTTAGGTGCCAGGTAAAAACATTCCTCTAATCCCAGCCAGGCTTTGGGCTAATTAAGCAATCTATGGGCTTTTAAACTGTGGGGTGTGTGCTATTGTTTTTGTTTGCTGCTATGTTATGTTTTTCTATGCTTTTATATTGTAAACAGCCCTGTCATCCTCAGATAAAGGGCTGGGTAGCAATTTTAACAACAACATAGATTTTAGCAGAAGACAAACTGCAGCAGAATGGAAACAGTGCTGTGTGTAATGAATTTAGGGCAGAATAGAAAACAAGGGCTTCTTACATCCCTTCCTGTATCACCATTTCTGTGTGCATGGGAAGCTTACCCACCAGCTAAAAGGCTTCTAGGATCATTTTCTACATGAAGGGGGGGGGGACCCACCCCGCCCATACCCTAACAAGTCTGAATTGATTCACAGGAAATATGGGATGAAACGGATGCTTTCCTTAATTAAACCTTCTACTTTGAAGGAGTGCTCCCTCTTTGTCCCATCATTTCATTTCATTTCCCTCTGCTTCTAGATAGGGAAGCACCAAGGCAATTGGCTATTTAAGAAGTTGGATCCTGGCACTTATAAGCATAGCATCCCTTAATGTTAAATATAGACTAATGACCTCCAGAGGGAGACCATGCCTGTGTGCTAGAACCTCATTACTCCATCCCTGCCTCAGGCAGGCGAGCAGGTCCTAGGAATTCACCTTGAAACAGAAAAATAAATAAATAAATTTCAAGCTGTACTTTTCTCAAAGGCATCCAAGCTGGAGAAGAGGTGGCCTGGGCTGTCAATATTTGATAGAAGCTTATAATTAGCTGCTTCATTTCAGTATGGGGTCATTTGACTCCTAAACAATCCCTTGTGGTTTTGAATTACATGATCCCACATTCATCTTGTCTAGACGCTTGACAATTCTTACACAGTTGATTCTTATTCCAGAAGTCGCAGGGCTGCTCATGATTTGCGGTATTATACTGTTGGAATTGAGATTTGGAACGGTTTTGCTTTCATTAACCCTCCCCCCCCATTTTCTAATATAATTATAGTTTTGCTTGTTTCATGTTTAGACATTCCTGAAATCGTCCCAGTTGTGAAAACTGCTGTGAGGGCCTTGAAATGCTTTTGAGGTGCTGAGTGTTTGGGGGACATGTGGATGTCTTCCTCAACAACTAATTATGTTGGTAGCATTCCTTATGGGGAACGTTCTTTGCAGTTGTCATCTGAAGAAGATTTCCCCAAGCAAGGCCTTTATCTGGAAGCCTGTCTGTTACAGTCGTGTGCCCTTCAACATTATTTTGTGGTTGTATAGGACAAGGACATTTCTGCGCACACATCCAATAAAGTGTTTCTGAGGACAAGTGGGACCAACCGAATCCTCTGGGGATTATGCGAATGAATGCAAATAACGCAGCAGTGGCTGTTGATTCTGCATATCAGAGTGCTGCACGCTCAGAAAGGAAACTAGATTGCTGGAAAGAAAGTTTGCAATCCGTTCCCAAACAAGGAAACAACACTAGCCACAAATCTTCTCTTCCCATTTGTCTTTTACAGAATGTGTGCTCCTTTTCTTGGTGTGGAGGCAATGGAAGGCTCACATTGGTGCATAAGTATATTGGCATATGCAAATCAGTGGATTAGGCATCCAGGTTTTACCTCGGACAGGCTTTCTCCTTTTGAAAGCATTTC